GGCCCTGGAGATGAGGAGGGAGAGAGTGTTGGGCAGAGCCAGCCTCGCGCTAATTGAGTTTCTCCCTCCTCCACGGCTCCATCATCTCTGCGCAGCGAAGAGGGAAGGCGCTTCGGAGCGGGGGGGGAGAGGGGCCGGGAGCAGAGAGCACAGCCACACACAGCCCCCACCTCCAGCCGAGACAGGGGCTGTCCTCTTCGCAGGGGTCAGAGGTCAAGGTCATTCCCGCCCATAATCACACACTGAGGCCCATTTGTTTTTAAAGCCAAGAGGACAGGACAGGACACAGTAAGCAGGGAGGGTGTCCACCTTGTCTAAACCCGAGCTCCCGGGTGTCCACCTGGCTTACAGCTGTTGACGCGTCCCTCCTGCTCCGACTGGGGCTTCGCGCAGAATGAACTTGCAGAAACAAGCTTCCTGCCCGAGCTCCAGCGCCCTGCCTGAGGCGCCGTTGCACTGAAAACAGGCTTACGGACGGAGAGAGACGGAGGGGACCGGGACAGCTCGGGACTAACAGAGCTGCCCCCAGCGAGACGACCCACAGAGTCCGGAGCGGGAGATCGGACGGCGGGTGCTGACCCCTCACGCTGACCAGTGTGGGTGCTGACCCCCCACGCTGACCAGTGTGGGTGCTGCTCCCAAGGACAGAGAGGACGCAGGAGGGCAGGGGCTCGGCCCCGGAGGGGGCAAACATTCAGCCGTCCCAGAGAGGATCTGGGAGAGGGAGAGAGATTTGGCGTTCCCGACGGATCCCAGCAAGGGGAGGGAGCAGACGGGCCCTGCGTCCCAGCCTGCCCTGCAGCAGACAAAGGCGTGAGCTGCCCCTCGGCCCCCAGGACGCCAGCGCTGACCCCACCACACTGGGCTCTGTGGGCCGCCTGGCTGGGGGCGACAGAACAGTCCAGGGCCGTTCGCTTCTGCAGAGCAACTGTACCGGAAGCTCAAAGTCAAATGCATTTGCCTCTCTCCCCCTCTCCCTGCCCCCCTCCTCTCTCTCCCCCTCTATGAGTCACCCTCTCCTTCGCTCTCTCTTTCTCTTCTTGTCTCGGGAGATCTGAAGCAGACGTGAAGATTACACGCTCCAAAACAGTGCCCCCCCCTTGGCAAGAACCCTGTAATCAAATCCTCCCCCGCAAAGACCCCCCCCCGCTGGGGGGCCCTGCCACCCCCGGGCAGATGCTGGCAGTGCCAGTCCCCTGTCTCACGGTCTCTGGCCCCCGCCAAGCCTGGCACCCTGCCGCCATGGAAGCACACAAGAGACAAAGACCAAAGCAAAGGAGGACGTCTCTGTGTGCTGAGCATCGAACTGGGAAACAGCACGACTCCCAGCACCGGACCCAGTCTGTCTCCACCCAGACCAGTGCGACTCCAGCACTGAGCCAGTCTGTCTCCACCCAGACCAG